GCTGCGAGGAGGTACAAGGCGGCCTGCCCATCGTCGGAAAGGCGCTGGAGGATCACGCGCCGCGGTCCGGCCGCAGCTGCGAACTCGACCCGGACCGTCTGATGCCACTGCGGCATGACGGTCAGTCCTGGCGGTGCAGCCGTCGCCTGAGCAAGACGCCCCACTCCCGCCGCCAGCGAAGCTGCTCGGTGTGCGAGCCGCTCGCAGTACAGGCCGATCAGCAGCCCGCTCAGGACGCGGACCCCCAGCTGAAGACGATCGGCCCGAATCCGGGGGCGTACTGTGCCACCGACAGTGCGAATCCGCCACATTCGGCGACGGCATGCGCCATGGCCCCTCGGCACCCCGATGACGACGCGTTCAAAGCTTTCGTCGCGTGAGGAGGCGGTCGCCGACGCAGCGTCTCACGCGCGTGCCGCCAGCGACGCTGCATTCACCCATGCTGCCATGGCCGTCGCGCGAAGGGAGGTGAGGAAGCAGCTTTCCGATCACGTCCAACGGTGGCACGAGGGGAAGCCAAGGGAGGAGGTAGAGAGGGAAGGCTTGGCTTCTGAGCGTGAGCTTGAGCGTGAGCTCCATTGAACCACTTGAGCCACGACGCCCTTGTACTGCACCACAGCTGCTTGTGCACATCGCACAACATACCAACAACACAGAGAGTGCGTACACCACACTGCGTGCGTAAACTGCAGCAGCCGTGTGCGCAACAGCGCCCGTGTTCACCACAGTGCTTGTGTACACTGCGACGCATGTGCGCCACGGTACCTGCTTCACCACCATCTGTGGACCACAGTTCCGTTGCACCAAGGTGCTTGCGCACACCACGAAATTGCATACACTTCCAAGGCCCCGGCGGGACGAGGGTCTGGAAAATCCTGGGTGATCCGAGCGTAACCCGTTGTGTTTGCTTGTTGTGACTATTGTTTTTTCAAGCGAAGGAAATGGCCCCGTCTTTTGATCCCACAGCGCCTGTGTACATCCCCGACCGCCTGTGTAAACCACGAAGTGTGATACACTTCGCTGGCCGTGCACAACCTACAATGCTTCTGCACATCACCATGCCTAGGATTCCTGCGCATAACTGTCGCTGCAACAACAGTTGCGTACAGTACACCACTAATCCTGTGTACATCATCGTGCATGGGTGCATCACGACGCCCGCGTGCGCAGCGCGGTCAACAAGCACTTATGTTTGCTTGCGCCACGACTCCTGCGTACAGAACAAATACTGCTGCGACAACAACCAATGAGTTCACCAAATCGCCTCGCTGCGTGTGCACAACGCAATGCCTTTGCACACGCTGCCCAAATTCACCTCTGGATGCCTACGGAAAATGTCGGTCGTCGTCGTCGTCGTCGTCGTCGTCGTCCTGCTCCCCTGCCGATCCAAGCCCCGACGCTTCACCAACGTGCATCCAAACACCAACATGCTGTTGCGCACACCACCGCGCCATTGAACACAGCGAACCTGCACAACCGACGCGGCCACCGACAAGCGTATGGGGTTATCCTGGCGGGGGGGGGGGCGCCCGATAACTCAGCCTCCTGCCCTGCGGAGGAGGATCTTTTCTGGATTGGGCTCGAGCACGCAAGACAACAGGGGCGAGCCAAGACTGATCTACCCCCAAGGGGGAGGAGCACGACAACGAAGAGGAGCATGAGGAGGAGCATGAGGAGGGGGACTGGGGGGAGCGGATGAGGAGGAGGAAGAGGACAAGCAACATGGAAGCAGCGGTGGGAGCGGAGAACGATGACAAGGGTGAGTAGAGCTACGGCCCGACCCGACAAGCAAGCCGACGCCGAGCGGGCTCGTTTCTCCAGAACGTCGAACAAAGATTGACGGGTCTTTTCTGGCCCGGGCGAACCTCGGCCACGAATAGGCTACCCGTCCTACATCTAAGGATCAGCGCGGAAAACCAGAGTCTGAACTCAAGGCGTTCGTTGTTTCAACGTCTTGACTGTTTTTTAACTCGAAGCTTGCCCACGATACGGGCGGGAACGAGATGAGGACGCGCAGGAAGAATGACTAGAATGACGATGAAAAGGCCTCCGTCTGGTGAGATGAGGATGGGAGGGAACCGCGCTAGATGGTGGTACTGATGACAGTGATGATGCGAATGGTGACGGTAATGATGGTGTTGATGATGATGATGATGATGATGATGATGATGATGACGATGATGATGGTGGTGGTGGTGATGATCGACCGTACCTGAGGGCAACAGTCCGCCAGCACGTCTATTGGTCAGTGGCGTGCACAGCAACTGCTACCGCTGCCTGTTGCTGCAAAGGGTCTGCCGGTGTTCCGCGAGGCACCGACGCTTGAGCTTGTGCAAGGTGTGAAAACAGGACACGCTTAGGCGCATCGCAGCTCGGCGGCTAAGCGCACAGTCTGCGCAGTTGTACTCGCTCTCGGCTCCGAGGCCGAAGATTAAGTGGGGTGAGGGAGGCAAGGAGAGGAGCTCAGCAAGGACAAGGTAAGATAAATTCGCCGGCCCAACGGGCCAGAGGCGTGCTGAGATCTCCGGTAACTGGTTAACAATTCTCTAGTTCGCGCGCGCGGGGCGGCCCCTGGGGGTCCCCGGACGAAAAGTACCCCGACCAGGTCCCGGCCGGTCCCCGGCCGGGTCCCGGCCGGGTCCCGGCCGGGTCCCCCCGAGCGCCCCATGAGCGCACCAACAGGGCTCCGAAAACGTCCCCGAGGACCCAAACAAAACCAAGAGGCCCCCAAGAGGCCCCCAAGATGGTACACGAGGGGTCCGACATGCCACAAGATCGCTCCAAGACGCCCAAGATGGCCCCCAGACGCCCCAAGAGGCCTCCAAGAGCACTCCCAAGAGGGCCTCCGGAGGCAAAATTCATTGATTTTCCTTAGGTTTTTGAGAGATTTTGGAGCTTCCACCTTTTCGGCTTCCCGACGCCCCAAGACGGCCCAAGAGGCCCCCAAGATCGCCCCAAGAGGGCCCAAGAGGCCCCCAAGAGGGCCCCAAGATGGCCCAAGAGGGCTCGAAGACGGCCCAAGAAGCCTCCAAGACGGCCCAAGAGGGCCCCAAGAACGCCCCAAGAGAGGGAACACGAAACAACATTTCCAGCCCTCGGCCCCAAGAAGCCCCTCCGAGGCCCCAAGAGGCCCCTAAGAGGCCCCAAGAGGCCCCGACGAGGCCCTCAGGAGGCCCCCAAGAGTCCCCCAAGCGGCCCCAGGAGGCCCCCCAAATGCCCCCCCGAGCGCCCCAGGAACCCCCAAAGCGCCGCATTGACACCAGGCCCTCGGGCAAACGGCAGACATGAGACTGTATGGGCCGGCGGAATGAGCGAAGCGATTAAATAAATGGGAAATATAATCCGACTCATCGCAGCATCGGAGGATGCAGTCGGAAACACCACAGACGTGCACGCGGGCGTGAAGTCGTCCACCTTCCTGCGAGGGTCTCGAGTAAACTCCATTGCCACGCTGGCTTGAGCGTGCGCAACACAGCGACACAGTCCCCCCACCGCTCGCCAACCGACCCGCGAACCGCAGCAGCAAGGCCCCACGCATGCAGGCGCTTGGAGATCGCGATCTCGAACGACGGTGGAAAGAGGGAGGCTCGGAGCGAGAAGGAGAGGACGCGCTGGACTTCCCCCGCTGCAGGAAGCCTTGCTCTATTTTTTGTAGCACGGTGCACTCCACCGGCTCCTTGTCCAGCAAACGAGCGGAATGGACTGGATGGCTTTCTCCGACCATTCTTCCAGATGCGAGTGCCAGCCTCGAAGGGTGTGGTAGCCACACCGCCGAAGGCTGGCAGCACTCATAACGAGTGCAGACTCGGGCGCATCCATGGTGAGCCATGCATCTTGAAAGCGAACAAGTCCGCCTTGCGGAAAGTATTAGGCGAGAGCCGCAGGACCTTGTGGATGGGAGATTTTTCCTTGTGCAGAACAGCTCGCGGCAATGGAAACAGCTGCGACAAGTAGCTTAACGCTTGATGGTGGTGGTGATGATAATGATGATAAGCAAGCAGTGGAGGCGAAGGAGGGTGACATCGATGACCAAAGAGAGGAGGCAACACTGAGTTGCATCAGGAGGAACAGCAAGAAATGCATCAACCTACACTTTCTTTTAAAATTCGCCAACATTTCACAAGCCGGCTCTGGATGCCCCTCCCTGGCGGGCGGAGCGCGCAAGAGGCGGCTCTAGAGGTGCCGCCAAGGTGCCCAACGCAGATGTTAGAACATCTGCGCCAAACTCCAGAATATTCTTTTTTCTGCTATGTTTTTTTCTTCGAGAGATTGAGGGGGCAACACCGTGCAGAACCATATGCAAACCTTGTTGTCGGTCCTGAATCGGTCTGCATTGCGTCCCGCGGGAGTCATCTGCCCGAGACATCGGCTTCACGGAGTTGCAGAAACGGCCGCAGAACTCCCGGAAGCCGAGGCAAGGACAAGAATGAACAAGCCTGGGAAGCCCAAACAGTGTTATGTCCTCTGTCCCCAGCGGCACACCATGCGTGCCCTCGCCATGCACGCATTATTTTTTGTACCAGCGCCATGACGCAGCTCCATGTCACGGAGCTGGGGTGGTGGCGGTCGCCGCAGGGCGGGGACCGCCCTGGGGTCCTCGATAAGCATTCGCTTGCATCGGCAGTCCAACCGGCAGTCCTCTCCCTCCCTTCATCCCTTCGGCGGCGGCATCCGAATCCAACCCCTACTTACCATCGATTCTCCTGAATCGATGGGAGGTGGGCGTGGAGTTTGCATCCCGCCACATGTTCTACGAATTCCTAACCTCACCTCCCCCCACCCATCGAATCGCCTACATCGTTGATCGGCGCGGGTAGGGCTCGGATTTCGGCGCCGATGCATCCGTCCTGCCCTCCCCCTCACTCCAATCATCCTCCGCCGTGTTTCCATCCATCCCCCGCGCCCTCCAGACAGCTGCCCCCGTCCCTCCTCCTTCACTGGAAATCGATGCCGAGGGCGAGGTGACGGCTGACGCCCCCGCTGAGCCCCCTGCTGGGCGCCTGTGCTCATGTATGTTTGCCTGATGAAATGGATGTAGAGCTTCGATCTCGGAGGCCATGCCTGGCAGCCGCTCTTCTAGGGGCCGAGGGCAAGAGGTGGGCAATGGAAAGAGAGTATGGAGGAGTCCGCCCCTGCGTGAGGGCCATCATGACTGCCCACCTTACAAACAAAACCCCGCCATTGAACCTTCGCGTATAACAGGCGCGCACACTACCGTGGCAGAAGACCAACTCTGGCCTCTCACGAGCGGCGAAGATCTCTCTCTCTCTATATATATATTCCGTTCTCTCTCTCTCTCTCTACCGCTACCTCTACCCCTGCCCCCCTCTCTCTCTATATATATACATGGTATATAAACATATATATATATATATACATACGCGCATCTATATGAATATATGTATATGTATGTGTGTGTAAATATAAATGTATATATGTGTATGTATATGCGTGCATGTATAAGTAACTGTATGTCGACATGCACACCTTTTATATGCAAAAACCTTTACACCAATCCATATCCGCGCCCTCGCGGTGGTCTGAAATTCAACACGCAATCCCGCTGATGCGCAATCGCACGGACACGGTCTGCGCGGGACAGCCGTGAACAAAACGCCCCGCAATTCGCGGTGCCGCGGCCAGGGGGCCCCGCCCGCGAGGCCGCGGAGATGCGGAGGAGGGAGCCCTGCCAGGCCGCGGGAGGTCAACCCGTCGGCGTGCACTGTGGCCCTCGACGAGGGCCGCGGAGCCCGTGGCGCGCTGCTAGCACAGGGCGCGGCCGCCGATGCACGGCGGCGTCGGTCCTCGCCGAGGGCGCGGCCGTGGCCATGTTGGCCCGAGCCGCTGCGTGGAGGCGGGGCGCGCCGCCCTTGGACGAAAAAGTGCGCTCGGTCCCAGCCTTCTTCGGAGGCGGTGTGGGTCCTCGCCGAGGAAGCGGCCGTGGCCACGCTGGCCCGAGCCGCTGCCCGAGGGCGAGGCGCGCCGCCTAGGAACGGCAGATGTTTCCCCACATCCTAAGTGGGGTTTGTGTTTTTTTTCTGAACACCCCACATCCCTCTCTTCTCCACATCATTCACTCACTCACTCAACCACTCACTCACCCACTCACTCACTTTCTCACTCGCTCACGGACTCACACTTCGTCATCATCTTCACCATCACCATTATCATCATCATCACCAGTATCAGCAGCAGCAGCATCACAATCATCATAATCATCAACATGGTCATCATCATCATTATTATCAGCATCATCATCATCATCAGCATCATCATCATCATCATCACCATCACCATCATCATCATCATCATCATCATCATCATCATCATCATCCTCATGATCATCATCGTCATCATGCTCGTCGTCGTCGTGGGCTTCGTCGGCACCGCGAGATCATCACTACCATCATATCCATTACCATGGCACCATCATCATCACTGCCTTACTCACTCACTGAATTCGCTCTCTATTCCTCACTAGCTCACTCACTCGCGAACAGACCATGGTAACAACAATCCTCATCATCACCATCATCCATCACCACTCGTCAGCACCATCACCATCATCATCATTATCATCATCATCACCAGCAGCATCATCATCATCACCACCACCACCACCACCACCACCACCATCATCATCATCATCATCATCATCATCATCATCATCATCATCATCAGCCTCATCATCATCATCATCATCATCATCATCACCACGATCAGCATGATCATCAACATCAGCCTCATCATCATCATCATCATCATCATCATCATCATCATCATCAGCATCAGCGTCACATTCGGGATCCCCTGGCCTGAACATGGAGAGCGTCTCGAGCGGGAGCCTCGTTATGTGAGTGAAATGTGAGGACATCTCGTGCGGGAACCCCGCCCCAATGGGACCCGCAACTCATGCTGGTAACCCGAGAGGGCCATCCAAGATTGTGTAACTGCCGTCACTGTTGGCCCCCGCTGGCATAAACATGGAAGGCTTCTCGAGCGGGAGCCTCGTATGTGAATTAATTGAAAAAGAAGTCTCAGGCGGGAGCCCCCGCCCTATGGGGCCCCCACTTCATGCTGGTAATCCGATCGGGTCCGCATGCCTGAACACGGAGGAAGTATCCAGCGGGAACCTCGACGGTGAACGAACTGCAAGGACGTCTCAGGCGGAAACCCCTCTCCCTGTGGGGCCCGCACTTCATGTTGGTAATGAAAGCGGGTCATCCGCAACCGTTTGGGGGCCCTCATGCCAGAACATGGAAGACGTCTCGAGCGGGAACGCCGTCTTAGAGAGAATTGCGAGGATGTATCAAGCAGACCCCCTCCCTGTGGGGCCCGCACTTCATGCTGGAAATCCAAGCGGGTCATCCGTAAACCTTTAACTGTCGTCACTGTTGGGGGTCCTCATGCCTGCACATGGAGGAGGTATCAAGCGGGAACCCCCTCCCTATGGGGCCCGCACTTCATGCTGGTAATCCCAGCGGGCCATCCGAAGACGTGTAACTGCCGTCATTGATGAGGGTCCTCATGCCTGCGCACGGAAGAAGTATCAAGTGGAAACGTCGTCTTTGAGTGAACTGCGGGGGAGTCTCAGGTGGGAATCCTCTCCCTAAGGGGCCTGCATTCCATGTTGGTAATTTGAACGGGCCATCCGCAAACCTGTAACTGTCGTCACTTTTGCGAGTGCTCATGCCTGCGCATGGAGGAGGTATCAAGCGTAAGCCTCGTTTGGGAGTGAACTGCGAGGACATCCCAGGCGGGGCCCTATTCCCTATGGAGCCCGCACTTCATGTTGGTAATCCGAGCGGGTCATCCGAAAACCTGCAACTGTCATCACTTTGGGGCTCCCCAGGCCTGAATATAGAGGAAGTCTGCGGCGGGAGCCTCGTCTGTGAGTAGAGTACGAGGAAATCTCAGGCGGGGGGCCTCTCCCTATAGGATCCGCGGATTCTGTTGCTAATCCGAGCGTGTCCTCCGAAAACTTATAACTTGTGTTTCTTTTGAGCTCGTGGGGCCTGAACAAGGAGGAGATCTCGAGCGGGAATGTCGTCCGTGAGTGAATTGCGAGGAAGTCTCAGGCGGGAGCCCTTACCCTTTTGGGCCCACAGATCATGTTACTAATCCGAGCGGGTCCCCCGAAAACATGTAACGGTCGTCACCTTTGAGTGCGTGAGGCCTGAATATGGGGGACGTATGAGGCGGGAGCTTCGTCTGTGAACGAATTGAGAGGAGAAGGAAAAGGAGGAGGAGCAGGAAGAGGAGGGGGAGGAGAGGGAGGAGGACGGAGAGGATGAGAAAGAGGAGGAGACGAAGGGCGAAGAGGATGATAATGAGGAGGCGCAACACAGGGCGAGAGGAGGGCCTCCGCCAAGGCGAGGAGGGGCAAGCGAGAGGCAAGCTAAACATATTATCATGTCATCGGGGTAGCTGTTCGGTCCCAACTTTCTATGGAGGCGGCAAGCGGTCCTCGCCGAGGGCGCGGCCGTGGCCGGTTTGGCCCAAGCCGCTTCGTGAGGGCGGGACGCGCCACCTTCGAGCGGGCCCTGGAGCCTGCAACGTTGCAGAGGCCCCTCTCCAGTTAGGGCGTAGCTCTTGGGAGGCCCCCGTAAGAACGAGTCAAAGATATTGAGCAATATTACGGGGCCATTAATTCGGAGAAGGCCAGCTCAACCTCAAAAAAAAGGTAGATCAAGCCGGAACTAGCCGGACTGGACGGGATTAGATGGAATTAGACGGGAGTATGTCGGATTAGGCTGGGTTTTGACAACGGATGCACCAACGCCGATGCTGGCTTCGATGTGAGCCTAAGCGAAATAAGCCGATCGCTATATGCATACGTATGTACATAGAGAGATAAGTGTAGATAGAGAGAGGGAAAGAGAGAACGATATTAACAATTAGCGCCTGAAGCCGCGTCTCCCGGCATCACGCGAATCATAGCAGGCGGCAGAAGCCGAAACGCCGAAGCTGCCTAGCCGCCGCAGCCGCGGGGGAAGAATGATGGATCTCTCGCCGATCGGAGGGCTGTTCCCCCCATGAGGGAGAGCGGGGGGGCCCTCCCTCCAAAAGTCGGGGGCTGACGTTCAACTTCCATGAGATGCACCGTAATGACTGCAGTCGCCGGCCCCTGTGAGATGTGCGACCAGGCCTCAGTGATGCCGGTTCCCGGCAATCTGCGGTGCGCGGCATCGAAGCATGGAGTGCGGGGACTCTCATCAGAAACCGCGTGCGCACAAGACACTCGCTCGATCCGGGCATGCATGGAGAAAGAGAAAACGGCATAACCATAAACTTTCGGAGGTCGGTGCGGATTGGCACTTGAACTCCCCTTCTCTCTGGCGCGCGGGGCGTGCCAGGGGCGGCGCCAGAGGCGCCGCCAGCGGGGGCCAGCGCCGATGCAGGAACTCCGAGCGGATCTCCGAGCATGTATGCTTACGCCGTTGTTGACTTCTCTAGCCTGTGGAGCGCCAGGCTGTTTTCGGGAGCTCTGCATGTGCTGCTTTGCATGTACGTTGGGCGCCTGGGCCATGCTCCCCGATGCCGCCCGCAGCATGGCCGTGCCCAGTCGGCGCAGAGGACCCGAGCCCGCGCCAGGGTTAAGGCGCGACGCTCTCGGTCAGCCTCCTGCCCGTTTGCGCCCTCGCGCTGGTGGCATGGTCAGGGGGAAGGAGGTGGGAGGAACAAGAACGTAGGTGATCTCCTCAGAGGAAGAAGGAGGAGGGAAGGAGGGAAGGAGGAAAAGAAGATGAGGAGGACGATCGAAGAGGAGGGGGGCGGAAGGCTGAGGGAGGAGTAAGATCAGCAGATGGAGCAGGAGGAGGGAGGAGGAGGGATGATAAGGAATAGCAGAAAAGAACGTCAGAAAACAATGGGGCTTGAGGCATAATGAACCAAGAGGCAACGCAGAACATCAAATGGAGAAGGAAAAACACGAAAACGAAAAGAGAAACACAACGACTGACATAATCCCCGTCACCACCTCCCCATGTGGGCCGTTGCAGAATCCTTGAATACAATACATATGTATGCATATACGTACATCTAGACACATACGAATAT